AGTTAGTTACACGAATTCAGATATGAGATGAAATCGGATAAGGATGAACGAGTTTAAGAGTTTTAAGAGTTTTTAAGAGTTTTAGCCAAATGTTTTATAAGATAGTATAGATATGTGTGTGTGTGTAGGCGAAGTATCATGAAGTTATGGTGTGAAAGGTAAGAAGAGACCTGAACACTTGATCACTTTTAATCTCATTTTCATCAATGAATTGTGGTTTAGAAGGGAATTGATCTGTTGCATCCCGGTAAATCTTATTACTGTTGACATTCAATTAAGATTGATCTATGGGTGGATATCTCTTCTTTCATTTTTCACCATAACTTTTATTCTTACATATGAAAATGTTGAAACGAGAACACCTTCATTTTACGAGAACGTGAGAATATTCTTTTACTGTAATCAGACAACCATAGATTCAGAGTGTGTTCACTATAATAGTATTTATAAGAAAAATGATCACAATAGACTCACCTTGTATGCACATTTAATCGTACACATATTCACATGTGTATATTACCGATAGAGAATAGATGATTTTTAAATCCTTCAATTCCCCCCTCCCCCCTCAATTGGAGTTGATTTTTTAAATATATTAGATTTTATTTATTTTTTTTAACCATTTTTATACCTAAAAAAAGACCCCTACATATACATATACGTTTAATTATAAAACAAACTACATGTTATGAGCAAAGGAAAAAGGGTTCTTGACTCAACGACCATTTCATACATCCAAATTAGTCTTTTAATCATTTCTCTTTCGGGTTAACTCAAATGTTACTACTTTCGCAATATTCAGGTCCACAATATTAATCACCTAACTAAATGCCAAAAAAAATTCAAATTCAACACATATATGCAATTGCGACGGCCCGGTCCGCAATTACGACGGCTAGGTCCGTAATATTTATCGCAAAAGTAATGACATTTGAATTAACTCAGAAGAAAATTGGATATCGAATCAATTTGAATATATGAAATGGTCATTTAAGTCCCTACTACCTTCTTTACCCTCTCAAAATGTCAGCAAATTAAACTATGATATAATTGACATCTTAATTCACAAATTAATTATATAATTTAAAATAAATAGTTGAGAAAAAACTGTAATTCAAAAAATTCGAAGGGGCGGGACAAATGTCGTCTGAGTTACAACATATATCCGTCATGTCTACCGATAATAAATTATAATATACAAATAAGTTAAATAAAAAGAATTTTAACAGTTTAATTGATCAAGTAATGACTCATTTAAATAAGAGTTCAAATATGAGACGACAAGAATTAGAATTGAGTCTAATTTTTATTTATTTTAGGCCTGTTAATAATTTTAGATTAATAAAAATAAAAATAAACCTAGTCTTGGGTTTGGTTGATTTCATTAAATTCTCTATTTTTTTTAGATATGATTTTGATCATCGTTTTTATGTTTCTGGATCTACTTTCCTTATAAAAGCACATGTTATGCCGTCTACTTTCCTTGTACAATA